TGCAAAGCGCTGATTAGTTCGCCGCACTGTCTCCTCGACGGTCCGGTCTCACAGACCATAGCTATGACACCAATTATACAAACGATTTTAAGCAGACTTATGGAGAAAGACCACAAACTCATCTTTTTATGTTGTCTCTGATGTGAGAACTGATGCCTAACTTATGTGTAATGTTGTATTGTGTGATGTTTTTATATGTGAAACATATCGAAAAACAAGTAAATTTTAATATATATTGAGTTTTGAATTTCATATTTAATCCAATTTAGTGTCACAAGAATATTCTTGAATTCATTGTATAAAATATTCAGTAAATTTTAAAATAAAGATTATTGGTATAAAAAGATATTTTTATTTTTGTATGTCATTTGATTTATAAATATGAAAAATTATTTATTTATCAATTTTTGTTAACTTTTGTAAACAAAATGCATTTATTGAAACTATAAAATCCTTATTTTACATACATATTGAAAGCTCATGGCATGTGATTATAAATCATGATTAAAATACTGTATATCTTAACGTATTGAATAAATTATAAATGATTTCTAAAGTTCATATTGTCTTCAATTTTAACATTAAAATAAATATTTCTAAAAATCTTTTACTTATAATGCAATATGAATTATGTCTTAAAACATTTTAAGTAATGCTGTAAGGTATTAACAATAAAAATGCTATTTTCTATATAATTTAAAACAAAATACAGTAATTATATTATTTTCATAAAAGAATAATTATATTAAATTATGTAAATAATTATAATTATAAAATACACAACAATACTAACAATAAGATCAATTTACTGTTAACAACATTTACCACATTTTGTTTACACCGATGTTTATTAAATTTTCAAATCTATTCAAGAATTGATAAATAAATAATTTTTCATATTTATAAATCAAATGACATACAAAAATAAAAATATCTTTTTATACCAATAATCTTTATTTTAAAATTTACTGAATATTTTATACAATGAATTCAAGAATATTCTTGTGACACTAAATTGGATTAAATATGAAATTCAAAACTCAATATATATTAAAATTTACTTGTTTTTCGATATGTTTCACATATAAAAACATCACACAATACAACATTACACATAAGTTAGGCATCAGTTCTCACATCAGAGACAACATAAAAAGATGAGTTTGTGGTCTTTCTCCATAAGTCTGCTTAAAATCGTTTGTATAATTGGTGTCATAGCTATGGTCTGTGAGACCGGACCGTCGAGGAGACAGTGCGGCGAACTAATCAGCGCTTTGCAACTCATGGGCGCCGGTATGTATTGATTGCAATTATTTCTATCATTGTTATAAAATATGTATTTAGTGTATAATTATGTGATTATACCTTATAATCAATTACAGGACACGCATCGAGAGTATCGGGTATTAAACGGCTTTCGTTAGAGAATATGCCAAACATTTATACCGATTGTCTTCACGCAGAAGAAGGCATTAGATTCAAAAAGTCGCTGAAAAGACATTTAATGCCGTATAAAATGAGAAATGCTATGAAATAAAATATAAATTATTTATTTAAAAACAATCGATGTAATAAACTTAAAAAGTTTTTTGTTTAAATTAATTATTTGAATATTTAAGCTCTAATCTAATGAAGCTAGAGCAATCATGATAAACATTATATTACATAAAATATGTCAATAATTATCATTTTAAATTTATTTGAATGGCAATAAAGTAATGAATTAAATAATTTATAAATAAAAGTTAATTTATTCACTTTCATTATGAACTGAATTATTGTTTTATAAAATTACTGACCATCCAGCAATAAATTATAAGTTACTAACATATAATAATAAACTTTTAATTGCCAAACGGATACTCAGGGTGGTTTTGAATTCCCGGAATATCAATGAGTCTCTTGTTTTGATTGAGAGCCGATATCCTATCCATCTCTTGGTCTGTCAAATGAAAGTCAAAAATATCCATATTTTCAATCAAACGCTCTCTTCGTTTACTCTTTGCAATGACAATAA